CAAAAGCAAACTGTACAATTATTACCCAAAATGTCCAAAGTAAATATCCATCACAGTTTACAGACCGAATTCTTGCTTCATCTTTGACTCACTGTACTTGCTCTAGAGGTGTTCAGTACATGTATGACCTAATCTTTAACACCTAACTTCAAAATAAACTGAATATACTGAATCACCATCGTCACTGACTGAATCAGTAGCTTTAGGCAGTGGAGCTCCTCACTGTTGACTGAGAGCCCCTTTGTCATCTCAGTTTATACAATACAGTATGTTCCTACCTGGTTAAAAGCTCACAGAAACACACTATCACAGAAATACTCGTTATGTGACAACTTTGTTGCAAATAGATGGTTGCTGAGCTATTCTATAAACAGTGCTTTGTACTGAATCGAATGTAGCAGCTTGAACCAACATGCTGAACGTACTCCTGAATTGAACTGTCAGAATCAGCACTGAACGTCGTAACTTTATGAACGGTGATTCGCCTACCGATGTAGTACAGAAGTACATTTAAACGGTGATGCAATCGCTTTCCTTTACATTGTCAGTTTTCCTGTGCAATGTGTTGTTATGGAAATTTTGCTTGAAAAAATTACTTGGAAGAGAGCTTGTAGAGAGTTTGTAGAGCCTGACTGATATAGGGCTTTATAAGACCAATACCAATTTTGTTATTTGAGGATTTAAAATTTTTTTAAAAAGTACAGCTGATTGCCAACAGGGGAGTTGCAGATTGCCCTCTGGTGGACAAACTACGCAACAACAACACTCATAACATTATTGAAGGATCTCCCGTCTGCTCTTATCTTGCCTAGACTTTGTTCCAGTGATGTTGCTATCTTCTGTTGCTGTTCGGTTATGATAGATTTGTACTTTGGGGAACAGATGGGTCATAACCGAAATCCTGATGTTTAGACCTAAGTTGTCAAAAATTTAAACTCAAAGGATAATTCTCTACTTATCCTTCCCGCCCGACGACCCCAACGTCTCTGCGCGGATCTCAGACTGTCTCTTGGACATATCCTCAGACTCATCTCTTCCGAGAACACTTTCTCTTATAACACCTAAAACTCCTAACCTCTAACATGCGCTTCCTGTTCTATTCTTCTTCTATCCCCTTACAATTTTCCTGTATTGATTGCACTTTTTGTTAACTAGTGCTCTTGCGAGTATTTATTGCTGCTCTTATGAGTATATATTGTCAGTTTTAGTTCTCGTGCTGTATTTGATGCTTTGTTGATGCTTGTATGTTTTTCCTAATATGCAAGTTGCTTTGGATAAAAGCGTCTACCTAATGAGTAAATGTAATAATTCTGGTTTATTACATCTACAAATCTTTCCTCTCCAATTCTTCTCTGTTTCAATCTCTACTTTTCTCCACTTTTCCCCTAATTTCCTTCTTTTGTTCACTCTCATCCAACAAGGTCATATTACTCTCTTTGTCCTTGACAGGTTTTCAAACATGGTCAAATGTTTTTCATTTCAGTTTGAAACTAATGACTCAGGGTAATAATTCATCCCGTGTCCTTTGATTTTTGTTTCTGAAATGTAAAACTGGGATATCAATCTTGAATGCCATTTGTGATGGCTGATCGCCAGGAGTGTTCCTAAAATTTTAATTCTGAAAACAGTGCTTTAACTGTCTCCATCCTTTTCGTATTAGTTTAGTTTTCTTGCAGATCGAGGTACAGTGTGTAAGTGGGACGATTCCTCCCTAAAGATAGGTTGTTTGGATATTTTTAAATACATTTCTCCTCGCTCTCTGTGTGATTTCTGGCCTGATTATATTCTCCTGCTGAAAGTCCACAAGATGGATGACACGCAGACACACTCTCCGTTAAACACAAGCACTGATGTGCATTAAAAACAGGATGTCTCGAAACATACAAGACGCACAGTCCTGAAGTTAAGGTCTTTAAGCGGAGAGGCTGACCGTGTGGTGGGAGGCAGGCTGGCTGAGAGGTGAAGAGGTGGTAGGGAAGAAAGAGGGTGCGGATCATAACTACGTGGGTGGTGGGATGCACGGTTGGGCAGTAGCTGCGTCACAGCGTTGCATAAGGGCTTATGCAGGCAGAGGGGAAGTGGATCTGAAGTAATTAGCGTGTAGAGCTGCAACAAGAGAGATGCCGACTATTCAAACAAGGTACAGTTCATCCATCCATCCACACATAACAGAAGAGTCAAGGCTGCCTGTTGACTTTTTTCATTGACTTTTAAAAAATTATTTCTCTTCTTTTTAGTTGACATAAAAACATATAAGCCTTCCCATGTAACCTTTCTTATATTCATGAATCCAAAAAAATACAATATAAAAACTGGCAAAAGATAAAACAAGTAATCAACTGTAGATCATATTTAGCTTACAAAACCTAGGAGACAACCAGGTCTCTTTTCTGCAGAAATTAAATGAAATAGTTAATATCAATTTGATAGTGATTACAGCCACTTATATGGAAAATGTTACACCAAGAATTGACTTACCTACTAAATAATTACTATGAACTATTTTTCTACACTTTCACAACTTGTTTTACCAGAACTTTAAACTGCTTTAAACAGTCGTTATTTTAATTATAATAATTATAATTTCTATAGTTTTGTAAAAACAAGGCTTAAACCGTACAGCCAGGACAGGCTGAAAAGTGTTGTCCAAAGTAAAGCTTCATTGTAAGCTATAGTTAAAAAAAATAGCTAGTAATTTGAGCGCTGAATAATTTGTGCAGTGTTTATTTGCCCCAAACAACTAACATACCAACTGTACAGATCCTAGCTGTAAACTGCAGGAATGTACACAGTGTCTGCCTGTGTTTGGAGAGTTAATGTGTGTGTTTGGGTCCAGCTCAGCCTCTGACTATACTCACAAAAACATCTTCATTTCTTTCTGCTTTTTCCTCTCGTCTCTGTATATTTATGAAGCAGATCCATAAAGCCCTGGGACAAGCATGAATTTTTCGCTGAAGTTGTAACATTTTTAACTTGCATGGATGCATCTTTGCTTCAGTCTGCAGCACACTGGGAATATTTGCATCTGTTAAAGTCTTTTCATCGACTTTATATACAATCGTGCTCCGTCTTTTACACAGATTATAGCTCAGAAGATCTGTTTGATTGTTTTTATTTTATATTTTTCATATTATCAATACTAGAAAATACCTTTATTAATATTCAACCAATGTTAAAGCCAACCTTAAAAGCCACTTATCTATGAACTCCAATGTAGTTAAATAAATGTGTTAGTTGCACAATAAGATAATCTGTTTTGCTGTAGTTTTTCAGGAACAAGGCTTTGGATACTTAAACCACAACATTTTTCTGTGTGGTTCTTTTAATGCTCAGCTTCTTTTTAATGTTAGAAATCTTATTCAGCATTTGTTTCAAGAACACCACCTTTTCACTGACAGCTGCATTTCTGGTCCTCCTTGTTTCCTCCTCATCCTCAGATCCTCACTTCTCACAGTAGAGTAGAAATGGATGCAGTTTTCTCTCTGTAAGTTTCTAAAATGTGGGAGGATGTTTGAGGTTTGGCCTGGATGATCCTAAATAAGGATGTCTGAGAACATACAGAGATTTTGCGCTGTTTAAGATGGAATGTGATGCTTTCCACGTGAGCCATCTTCTCGCTGTACAAACGAGGCAGACATGCCAGTTTTCCCAGTGGATTCTCTTTCCACCCTCTGCCCATTTTATCCATTTTAAATAAACAGCTATATGATTTCAGAATTTCTGAACACAAGCTTTCAGACTTCTCCATAAGTGGTTTTTTCCCCCGCTACATTTATGCTGTTATTATGTTCTTGACCACAACTATGTACGTGCAAGCATGTTCTCAGTTGTCCCTAATAGCCTGGTGTGAATCTTCAACATTATCTCACATATCCAGAGTACAGTATTGTCAACATGTCTGTTTGTGTCATGTCCCTTTATGCTACACCACTTCCCAATCTGAATGGCCTTTGTTCAGTGTGTGGTGGTTCCACCATCTCTTATGCGGTTTGTTAACTTGTCTGGAACCTTTTGGCACACGGTTAAACAGTAGAATAATAAACCTAAGTGCTGTGGGATGGCAGTGTTTTGGATAGGGAAGAATTGGGCCACCACCCTACTCCTTAATAGTCTACTGGCTCCGTGTGTGTGTTCACTGAATCACAAGCTTTTGTGTGTGTGTGCCTGAAAGTCTGGCAAAAACTGTCCCTCGTTTATCCTAATTTCTTCTTCTCTAGTTCACTACCTTTCCCAATAGTTATCTGAATTTATTTCCTGCACTTCATCCTATTTAATGCAACCTCCCGACCACTGCACAGTGTAGCTGTAAACTGTATGCCATGATGCTCAAACACATTTATAGCAACTGTTATAAACAGTGTGTTATGATGTTTTTATGTTAACAATGTATCACATGACTACTTTTATGTGAAAGGAGACAACGCTCGAATCAGCATTGTTTCTAGATGCAGCTTCTCGTGAAAAAGCTCTAAAAACTGATTGTGTGCTACACACAAACTGTCCAGTTAGCAACCACAGAGAGACAAAGTTAGAAGTTAGGCTAGCTTGTGAACATAGTGGAATATTGGACTTACATAAATGTAACGTCAAAAATAATTACAAGTCTTACTGGAGGTCCTTTTTTTTGACCAAATGTCAAAACTTGATATAAAAACAGAGAAATGTTAAAAACTGTAACAAGCAAATCTTTATGTATTTTTACCAACAATCTTGTCATAACAATGCCTGTAAAATGTATGTATATGTGTTAGATGTATGTATGTCTGTTATACTAGGTAATTAAAGTAATCCTTACTTTTAATTAAGATGACAAATAAATGTGAAAGGACTGTTGAGATGGATTTAGGTTATGTCTATTTGCTTCTTGTGTCCCAACAGGCTTAGTTTCCCTGTGGGATACTAAACAACGGCTGCTTTTTTCATTTCTGTTTTTGGTCAGCTGTTGGCCCTCCTGCCTGCAGATTAAAGCTAAATCTGTGTTCTCTTTTGTCTATCACCAGTGTCAGTTTTTAGAAGATACTGTCTTGTGATCTGGATACCCTGCCTGCAGGACACCTCATGGATGTCCAAGGAAGGATAATGTAAAGTAGGAATGTTGAGTAATCACACTGAAAATAAATCAACTGTATTGGCCCAGATATTAGATGACACTGACTACGAGACATAAAATACTTCATTTAAAGCATGCTGTAGACTAAATCCCACATTTGTGTTGCTTGTCAGTCTCACATTCACACACTCTCCTGTCATTATAAGGGGTCAAAAATATTGTGTTTTTGAGCTCCTTATTAGTTCTTGGCTACTTAACGGGTGATTTTTTTCTCCAGTCGGCATCAGGAGACATAGTTTTTCAAATGTAACTTCCAGAAAGAAATACCGTCTTATAATCAGGGCTATATGGTATTTTTAGAATGTCCCATTGGCCCTGGCTCATGTTTTTCCATACACACAATTCATAGATACTAAAGGACTACTGATTAATAAGTACATGTCAGATTAGTAATTTATCTATTTCTCATAGGTAGGTAGGTTTATTGTCAAAATATAACAAGTTATAGAGTGAAATTGAGTTTTGTAACTCCCTTCTGCTACATACCCATCCCTAGCGCTTTACAGTCAATCACCATTTTAAACAGTTGATCTTTATTCACTGCAGGTGTTAACATTTACCTTATCTTCATTGATCCTTAATGAAAACTACTTCTTTCTGAGAGGGTTTAACTCGTACAAATTCTTTTGAAATTTGCTTACTCAAGAAGAACAGATAACGTAATTCCTCCACTTCATTGATTCTTGATTGCTTTGCGGGTCAGTTAACATGTCATAGTGAGGTTTAGTGGTATTGAAAGCTGTCTTTGAAGGTGCCCGTTCAGCATATGAATAATGTAGTGAAATGGTAATCACTGTGCCGCCCTCTACTCTCATTTCATGCAGCGCAATTGCTCGTCTTTCTGTGTCTCACCCTCTGCTGTTTGGTCTTCCTTTATTGAGGGTTATTCCCTTCATTGTGGAATAACAGGTGAGGGGAGCGGCCCTCTTAAGTAAACGCCTGTTCATGATGTGTGGATTGATTGTCAGTCTTTAAAAAAACAACTGTGAAGGTATTGCTTTACAGGGCTCAAAGTATAGACTATGGCTTTGCACTATAGCAGTGCAACATTTAAGAAGCCGTCTTAAAGCCATCTGGATTGAGCTACATTACATGTGGGAAGCCACAGTTTCCTCAGCACTTCCATCTGTTTGTAACATACGAATACAGTGTGTTTGGCACAGAAGAGCAGCAGGTTTGGTTTGCTTTGGTTTAAGTAAAGCCCGTTCAGCTGGAGAAACCCAGCAGGCAGTTAATTTTAGCAAACATCCCTGATCCTGCTGATAAAACAGGATGCACAATAAACAGATAACCATTACTCTCACTGTTTCAACTCCTGCCACAGTTCACCACAACCCTATAAAGTTAAGCCTTTATTTTGAACTCCAGATCTAGTCTGATGGTATTTCCCTTAATTTTGTTGATCAATTCACGTATTGTTTCATGTTGTATTCTAATTTAATCCAAAAATCATATGCATAAGGGATAGTTATTACAGAGATTACTAGAAAGGATTCAGAGATGTCTCTAGTTTTACAATCCTCTACATTTGTTTTTTATAAATAATACATTATTGACAAAACTTGGATCTGCATCAAATAGATGCATGTAAGTTAAATTTAAATCCAAGATTCACACCAAAAACAATAATAGAAAACAATCAAAACTGGAAATCCACCTAGCAACACCTCTCAGGCTCACCAATTAACATGCTATATCTCGTTTGTACATAAAAGGAAGTTTACATGAAATTAAAAATGTCACATTGTCATTTTATCATGGATTATGAGCTGAACTATTTCTTGGCCAAACGCAGTAACTTTCAAGGGTCTTATCGTCCCTAAATGGGGAACTATTCCTTTAAAATCTGTTAACAGAATCTCTCAAAAAGTTATCTAAACAGAAACATGGGACCATTTGGGGCTGGACCATTTGATCAAAAATTAATATCAAGAAATATATTTTCTTTTTTACATCACTACATGTAGAGCGTTTTCTCATCTGTCTCACCTCTGATATCACCAGTTATTAAAGGCAAACTTTCCAAACTTACAGTCTTGCGTCAGCTCATAACAGTAATGCCAAGTGGTTAAATTATGGTGAGCGGATTTCAGCTCGGTCTACTTCTGGGTCCATACAATCTCAATTTACAGTCATCCGATATAGAAATGTAAAAAAGCCAACTACTAACTAACAGCAGTGCAAGAATACGCAAAAATTTCACCAAACTTCTGAAACTCTGAGAACCGGTCAAAATAACACAGCTACCTTATATTCTTATGCCATAACTTGCTTAGCTCAAGCACACGGCCACCTCAAAACCACATATTGACACTATTTGGAATGTTTTTCAGTACGGTTTGTGTTGTCATTTTGCTAAATAGCCAATGTTAGATGTTACTTGCCTCACTTGGTTTGTTGAACTTTCATTCAAACTTTTGCCAGTTAGACTTTTATTGCAAATTATGACAAGTACAAGTAAGTAAGTACATTAAGTAAAGTACATTTAGGTCAGTAAGAGATTCATAATGGGAAATTAATTTATTGCACAGCTCTAGTAACAACATTGTACCTGTCTGTTAGTCTCTGAATACTGTGTGAATAATTCATGGCCATATTACTTAGAAATATGATCTCCTGAGGCACAGCTGGCAATTAATCCACTGCTTTGGTTTTGCAAATATTTCTGAAACTCAATTATACGTTAACATCAGGACAAGGACAAATTATACCTTGAAAAATTGGCCTGGGAAAGGGGAGACTAAAACCTGCAGAATTGAAGTAGGGAAGTTGAGGGCAGTGGCTTGATTCACATACAGTGGATTTTGTCTGCACTTTTCCAGCACCATATGTTGCTATTATTTCTTTTTCTATTAGTGTCAGTAGTGTTCTTTGCTGAAAACATGGTAGTGCCAAATGAACTCTAAAGTAATATTTTGCATTTATAACGTTCTCACGGCAGCAGGACTCTGGCTGTCTGGTCGACTCACCTCTGGCATTTTCCATAGTCTCTCTTTTCTCATGCTCTTCTACTCCACTTAAATATTGCTTTACCACTAATATACCAGTTTAATGAATTGCAGATGGACTCCTTACTACTTTCCAGATGGTGGCGGTGTACTGCTCACCTTTTTTGTCTTTTTAGATGTCAGGTTATAATTTGATCCAAAATCTGTTTGTGTTTATTAACATTTTTCTTATTTTGTATGTAACAGGTATTTTTTCACTACATTTGTCTTAACTTTAAACCTTATATGATGATAGAAAATGACAAAAACATGTTGAAAAACCCCCAAACCTTTGTGGTGATTCACAAAACATAAAATAGTCAACAGTAATGTTTTTACTTTACCCGGGATAGTTGTTTAGTGATCTGGGTGCTAGCTTTGGGTTCGATCATCACTCTTGTTGACATGGAAAATCCCCTCAGTCTCAACCTTCCTCTATGTGAAGCTTTTTTGCCTTCATGACTCAGATTTTCCTCTTTTTCGCTTACTTCTATAAACACATGTCACATTTCAGGTTTTCCAACTCGCCACAGTGGTAGTAGTCTCACAGCTTCTCTTCTGCTGATTCAACAACATGCATTTCTTTGCTTTTTATCCGCTCAGTCTGGGAGAACACAGAGATGAAGAGAGAATGAAGATCTGTTCACCGGTGTGACTTCCTGGGATGCTTGACCGACCCGTACCCCATGCTTTTCTAAGGCCTCCAGAAGCTAAAGACAGTGTGTCATTGACAGGTAAGTTGAGCCTTTTGGGAGAAATGTGGTTTAAATTTGATCAAAAGAGAACGCTAAACCTTTTGGCTGTTCCTGGATATGTGAAACAGGACCTTGAAGTTTGATTTTGCAGGAATGTTCTCTAACAAAGTTGATGCTTTAAGTTGTGTTAATTCTCTGACATCTGAAACCAAGCATTCTTTTCTTCTCGAGCCATTTCTGTTTGAGACTTCATTGACGTTGAGAATTGGCTGCAGCTTGCCACACACAGTCGTGTGCGTCCTTCTATGTGTGGGTGTTAAGACATTCCTGCTGCGTGGGAGTTAGCAACAGATCTTAATCATGGATAGGGTTTTGCTGTAATTCCAGAGCTGGAGGCGTAACCCTAATCTCTTTGGCACATTATACAGTAAATCAGAGTGTGGTTAAGTCGGGTCCCTGCCAACTCAATACAGCCATCCCATTTCTGTGGGATTTATGAGTGGACTTACTAGGAGTAGTTATTTCAGTCTGCAAAGCTCTCTCTGCCTCCCTTCTCCTCATTTGTGTCTAAAACTGATGAACCACCCCCTGCTGAGTGCTAAACCTTCGCACTAGTTTTATTTCGGAGGTGTTCGTGGATTGCTTTGTGCCATGGTGGATTATTTTTTAAGTTAGAGGTCCAAAGGGCCGGCTGGTCGAGGCCAATTTTAGCTGCAGTGTCCAGAGGGAGTGACGTCCCCATGCAGAGGCAGCGCGGACACTGATGGATGGCCTAGCTTTCTGTCGGTTTCTGGTCCCAGACGCAAAGTGTTGTTATGAAAATATATAAGGAAGCAGGCTGATGGACTGCAGAGAGATGGCAGCTCAGCCTATGATGGATGACCACCTGCTGGGCCTCTGCTATAGATACAGAAAAATTAGAATTGTGGCCTCTAAGGACACTTTCAATATTCACCAGAAATTGGCCACCGAAGGCACTCTCACTAAAAGTTTTTTTCTTTATATGGCTGAGTAGGATAAACCAGAAACCATGAGGCAGATGTACCCAACATTATTGCAAAGCCACACTCGAATTACTTGTTTTAACTGGAATTTTACTTTTATTTCCCTCATGGTTTTCCTTTGGTTATCCCACAGACAGGGAAAAAGCCACAGAGTTGTCATTTTACTTTGCTGCTTTGGCCTGTAAATCAGCTCTCTCAAAAGAGGCTGAGTCATGTTAGCCCCTCCCCCCCCCAGCCTATAATGCTAATGGTGGCATTCACAGAGGTGATTTGCAGCTTGCCTCTTTATCCCAGCCCTGGTGGCCTTGGGGTAGTAATTGATGGTGTTTGTTGTCCAGTCTTGGACTCTGGACTGAGAGAGGTTTCTGTTGGTTTGGCTGCTGCAGGACGGGACTTCACTTGTGGCATATTCACTGTTCTCCAGACCTCCCATTGAGACGTGACCAAGAACGACCTTGAACTCACTCCCCTCTGTCTGACTGCCTGAAGGACAAACTTCGTGCCTACCAGTGTGACCCAGTTACAGGAGAAGTGAGAGAGGGAGTTGAATAGAGAAAGGGAGAGGGAAAGATGTGTGTTTGTGTATGTGTGTGTGTGTAAGGCTGTGGCAGGGCATAGCCTAATTCTCGTACCCTACTTTTACCCCTCTCTTCATGAGTTGATCAGCTGAGCTCTGACTGCACTATCTCGTCCTGTTGTTTTTTTATTTTTATTCATTTTGGCCAGATGGTGGATTACAGGTCAAGGCAAAGGCTGAATGCAGCCGCTGTCAAGAGAATATTCTTATGGAATCTGACCAACTGGTTACTCAGGATGTTAGAGACTCGATTTGTTACAAACTTCAGTGATCCTAAATATCCGCAGCTGAAAAAAGAGTGAGTATTGGGCTTACTTGCATCAGGTGGCCAAAAAATTATTTGCTCCTTAAACATATTCATCATAGAAACTAAATAAGATGATTATACATCAATGTTGTTTACAGCTTGATGTGCTGCCCCCACGTAGCCAAAAAATTATTAATGCAGATGTAAGAAGTTAGTTTTGTAATACTCTTTATAGCCAGCATTTTTCAGTAAATAGCATCAATGTATTTGCATTTTATGAAAAGGCAATTGTACAGAATTGTGTTTCTATTAGTTTTCATTGTTACTAGCTAAGCCAGCGTTTCCCACACAGGTTTCAAATTGTGTATTCGTGGAACAGTGGCCACTGTGGCTACAAATAATTATGGGATAAATGCTAAATTACTTTTAGCATTTAGCTGAAATGCTAAGCTATTGTAACACTCCCGCAAGTGGAGAAGAGTCATAAAATCAGTGAACTGACTCTAGCAATCATTACCCAAAGTTTGCTAACATTAGCCACCATAAGCTAACAGTCATAGCAGACCAAGTAAAGGTGTAGCTGCAAAACTCCTGAGAGTGTTTGTATGAGCTACGGTGCATTTTGATTCTTGTAAATGAATTTGTGAGTGAAAGAATGTATCTTTTGTTCATTTGTTAGTTAGTCAGTTACATCCATACTCACTTCAAAACAATACGATGAATTGTCTTAGTCTAGGATTTGGCTGTGCTGTGAACACAAACACAATTTGTTCTTCTTGTGCACTCCTGACAGAGAGGTTGCGTAAGGCCTTTTTGCTGTCCGCTATTGTCACATCTCATTTCCAACTGAACTTTGTGACCTGTATTATCAAAATACACTTAAGTGCAACTAGGGCTGAAATCTTTATGAGTAGTGTTAATTTTGTCAGACATCATCATTTAAGTCTTTTCTAACTCATTTGATTAGCATTTTGGTCAATCTGCTTTAACCAAAACAGAGATATTTTAGTAAGACGTTTTAGTCTTTATTTCACTCATCTCACCTATAGATAAATTGTTTTGTAAAATTTTAATGTTATCTTTGTTCTCATTTTTATTGCAAAGGAGACATTAACTTACCACAATTCCCAGGTGGATAGTCTTGATATGCCGCTTCAAGTTTGTAGTGTTTTTTCCAGAAATTTTATAACCACATTGCTTGCCGTCCGATATAATTAGGCCCTCTGTTTTTTCGTGGTGCCTCACTGTACTTGAAATGGGACCAAATATCTAAGCACCTCTTTCTCCCCAGCGTGTTGTGTGCATCACCAGAGTTCGCATCCTCCACAGTACAGTAAAATTTTCCTCACGCACCAGACGTTGCCGCGTCGGCCAGCATTCAAAGCACAGGAAGAAAAACATATCTCTGAATGAAAACACTGTTCAAGTGAAAATTTAGAGGGAGAAAATATGGCCTGAATATAGTGTCTTATTATACTCCCAAAAAGAGAGAGAGATTTTGTTAACATTTTTATTTTATGAATTCTATTTTAGTCTCGTCATTTTTTTGCCAACAAGATTGCATGTTAAGATGGTCACAGTCAGTATTTAAGTACATTGTCGCCGTCTCGTCATCGTCTCATATTAGTCATGGAAAAGAAGGTCTTTGACGAATACATTTTGTTTAGTTTCGTCTGACGAAAGTAACACTATTAGAGGTAACTTAAAGCTTGATGACTATTATATCGTTATCATTATATCATTGTGTGATGTTTTGCCTAAATATGTTGATACTATATATCCCATACATCCAGCCCTGCCTCTTGAAATGTTATTATCCTCTCCTGTCTTTGCTTTTAAGGAATATTAGTGCTCATCTTTGCTAGGTTTATATCCTCTAATTCAGAGTGACGGTTTCTTTCAATTAAGAATTTGCTCAGTAATTAACTGTAGTTCATTTTTTTGAGCTTTGGTGTGTGTTTTTAGATCAGACTAACAAATGGGTAGCAGGACTGCAGTGTTTGATGAAGATTCATAAAGAGAGTTTTTAAAATCTAGCCTGTTACTGTTTAACGTTGACATCCAGTGTCTAGCTAACCAGTTTCACCTCTTTCTCCCATGCCATACCCTGACTCACCACACCTCCCGGCCTTTTTCTTCCTGTTATCACTTGCACCTTCTTTAGTTTTTTGTTTTTAATGCACTTAGATGAAGACTCAATTTTGACAGGGGAAAAGGCGGACATCATAAGCCTTCTTTTTACTCTCCATTGCTTTCTACTTAAAATAGGCAGAAAGTGTAAAGAGCAGTCTTTAACTGACAGCTCGAATCTCCCTTGCTTTCTGTTTCTTTCTCTTTTCTCTTCTTTTTACTGCCTGACAAAGGCAGTAGAGGACTTTGCAGAGTGTTTCTTTGGTCAAAGGAAATAGTAGAGAAGGAGTGGGGCATAGAGAGAGGAGGTGAGAGGCTGGGCTGTGGACGAGGAGGAGGTGGGAGGAAGGGGAGGGGACTGGGCTCCCATTCACATTGGCGGCATTTGGCTTGAGAATGAGCTGTTTTTTTTGGTGGGGGGCAGTTAGAGAAGTTTTCCTCTGGAGGGTTGGTCAGACACAGAGCCAAACATCCAGGAGAACAGGAACATAGTGAATGTTTTGAGCCAACTGAACCTGAGACGCTGAAGGAGCTGAGGCTGGATGATAAGAAGGAGCTGGTCACACACCAGAGCAGATATGCAGGGAGCAGACTGGGGTAAGAATCCCGGAGGGAAGGAACGTTGGAGAAAAGGGAAGTTGACTTTGTTTGTGTTTGGTGATCGCTGTTTCTATTACAGTCACTGTGAAATAATTATTTGCTTCATAAAGATGTGTAAGTTAACTCCTGTAGATTTATTGCATGTCAAAAATTCCATAGTTGTGAAAAGAAATGTAAGTAATTAGAGCTGCAATGAATGTTGATCAATAGACAGAAAACTAATCGGCAACTATTTTAATAATCGATTTATCATTTCAGTCTAACATTCTTTGATTCCAGCTCCTCAAATGTGACAATTTGATGTTTTTGTTGAATATCTCAAGTTTTTAGACTGTTAGCAAATTGAAGACATTACAGTGGCCTTTGACAATTTGTGAAAGAACCTTTTTCATTACTTCTTAATGATTAAAAGACTAAACAATTAATCAATCACTAGAGACAAAAATCAGAAGACTGACTCAATTGGTAATGAAAATAACCA